AAGTGCCAATACTGTACCTTCATGTTGACTGCCAGGTTAGGTCTACCATATGTAGTATCTTTGCAGTTGCAATAATCTGGCATGAACTTTTGTGTCGTTTCATAGCTGTGCATGGTAATTTTATTACATATTTTCAGTACCCACTGCTTTTAATATAGAATTGCGAAAATTTACTTAGGTAGTGCAAATAAGTTACCCAACTTTAAGCTGGTTAAACTTTAAGTTTTAGGGCTGCTTGATGACAAATTTATTATCTCTCTTCGACATCACAACCTGACTGAAAGTGACATTTCTGGCTGGGCTTGACTTGATGCCAGCAGTGCACAAATTCTTTGAGCTGGAGTGACTATGTTACAGAGGAGCTTGCTGTAACGTTATAAGCAGTGTTGATTACATTGTTATTTAAAGAGCACCTTAAATTCCTCGAAAGAAAAGGGGCAACAATTTACATTTTGAAATGTTACTTTTCATTGCTCTTTAAAAGAAATTGGTTGGCCACCTTTGTTTTGTGTTATCCATCTGTGCTTTTTGATGGGAAGTGTGCATCTCTAGACAGAATTTGCTGTAGCTAGCATCCATATTTGTTTAGCTCACTTAGCTCTCTGCATGCTGTTTGTCTTTTGTAGGCGTGGATCATTCACGGAGACGTTCTGCTTGCTAACGAAAAAAAAAAAAGTCTATCTATGTGAGTTACATAAACCTGATGCCACAAAGCTTGCATGAGTTCCGTCGTTAGTTATTCAAGCTCTGTCCTTCTAAACCATTGAGTAGATAAGGTAGGACGGTTGAAGGAGGCCTCATGGTCATGTGACGACATCTGTCTATGCACTTGACGAAGTTATCAGTGAAGTTGCGAAATGAGCCGTCATTGAGAAACTGCACTCTGCTGAATTGCCCAGGTTTCTAATGTGATGTCTGTATTCTCTGAAACAGCCCCCTTGTTTGCAAGAAGCAAAGACAGTGTTATGGGATGTAGTACTGAAGGGGCGCAATAAGTGACCTGTGTGTAGGTTCAAAGTGTGTGCCATTACAAGAGTTGGAAGCAGACAAAGACGAAGGTGGCACGAGTGCTAGGCTGAGAACAAAAAGAAGAATAGAAAACAAACCAATAGGAACAGGCCACGGTAGGCACGAGAAAAAAAAAAGGAGGGCGGAGTGTGGCGGCAAAGGGACGAGAGAATGCAAAGGGACGAGAGGAAGACAGGGCTCGCCACTCGGCTGTTGGGTTCTGGACTACGTGCCACAAACTACCTTCCACGGCCATACATCGTTGATGTGCTGCGTTTTCAAGGCATTCTGTGCCCAAGCCCGACGACATGCGGAGCTGTCAGGCTATGAAGAGGATCCGGCCGGGACGCGGCTGCGGCGGTGGTGCCTACTATTCAGGTCTGGTCTACCATTCGAACAACATGCTCCAGCTCAAGACTCAGCAACAAGTTTTGGTGAGACTGACATCTTGTGTCCATGCTAAGATGAGAGACTGCTAGGATCAAACTTTAATAGAGTGAGAGAATAGTGCAGAATTTTTTCTATAATCTGTCAATGTTATGTGTGCTTGCCTTTTGCTTGTGAACAAAGTGTGGTGTACAAACAGCCTCGTCTTTTCCTGGATGTCTGTGGCGACGTCTCGAACACCTATTCACTAAGAACTTGTACGTTGCAATAACATCTATAGCAATATAACACTGTCGTCTGGAACAAGACAAGACCATTTGTCTCACTTGTGAGGTTGACGACTTGCCATAAAAAGACGAGGAAGTCTGTACAGCACCTTTTATACACACACGAAAGACAAGCACACATAACATTGACAGACTATAGAAACAGTCCTGCACCATTCCCTCACACTACCGAAGTCTTATCTTAATAATCTCTCACCTTAGCATGGACACAAGATGACGTTGGTCTCACCAAAGTTCGTTGCTAAGTCTTGAGCTGTAGTGCGTTGTTCGAACGCCAGACCAGGCGGCTACCTGAAGGGTAGGCACCACTGCTGGAACTCACGCCCGTAGCCCGACAGCTCGGCGTGTCCTCAAGCACAGGATACCTTGAAAACGCAGCACGTAAGCGACGCACGGTCATGGCAGGTAGCCCTGGGCTCAGTGGTTGCCAGACTCGGGTCCAGAACCTAATGGCTGAGTATCGAGCCCCGTCTTCCTCGCTTATTCTGTCCTCTCTTCGCCGCCACGCTCCGCCCTCCATTTTTCGTGTGCCTACTGTGGCCTGTTCCTATTGTTTTGTTTTTTTATGCTTTTCTTCTTATTCATTTCTAGCCCAGTGCTCATGCCACCTTCGTCATTGTCTATTTCCAACTCTTGTAATGGCGCGCACATTGAACCTTCACGCATGCCACTTATCACAAGAGGCTATGTTGATAATACTCTCAGGAAAGGCACTGGCACTGGCTCAAGTTTGAAAGGGCTGTCTATTTCCTCTGTGCATCAGTCTTAAAGGGGCCCTCCAGCACTATTGAAGCACAAGCACCTATTTTTTATTTGTGGTTTACGTAGACAGATAGCTGGGGATAATTTTAGCATTCGTATAAGCGCCGATATAAGATGATTTAGTATTTTAATCATGCAGTAAAGTCGCTACATTGCTCCCGACTGCATCACCATGTAGTGGCGCTCACCAGAACCTTGCGGGCGGAAATTATGCCAAAAGGTTGCCGCCATATGATTGGATAAATGGAATAATAGAAGCAGTCGTGATGTAGCATGAAAACTGAGGTTACCGATCTGTTTCAATTTTCTTCTCTGTGCTTTTTCATCAAACCCTGAACAGAGGCAGTCACAACAAAAAAGATCACTGCGACTACAAAGCATGACAGAGACGCTGGCTGCCATTTTGCCACTGGATTTCGGGCTTGCATGTGTTAGATGTCTGCGAAAGACCTCTCTCTCTTCCCTCTTCTTGCTTTTGGGAGTTTGCGAGCTGTCTCTTTCCACACGCACTCTGTTGAAGGGGTGCAGTGCGCCATTGCTGTTCGTCGGGCGGCTCACCGAACATTGCATGTAGGGTCGACAATACTTCACTGTCCTGGTCGTTCCACAAGCTCCTTTCTCAGGGAATGACTCGGAATGTAATACCTCGCTTCGACACAATAGCTCCCGCTCACGTTCTGGCAAGCCAAGCATCAGGCACCACGTTTGTTACCGTGTCAACTAGGTCAACATTAATTTAAAAAAAAAAAGGCAACAATGGGGTGCGAGCTTCCCCTACGTAGGCACTTCCAGCTTAATTCATTGGGGCAGCCATCCGACGTCATGGGCGAGTGAAATGTGGTCAAGTGATCTCGGCAAAGTCGATTTGAGGGTCGGCATTTTTTTCTTGTATTTTGAACTTTCTACATCAAACTTCAGACTGCATTTCGTTATCACTGCCGTTTTTGCTGCATTAGTCTGTCTGTACTTCAATCTACACAACCCACGAGTGAAACACGGAAGGTTGAATAGTGTTGGAGGGCCGCTTTAAGCTTTCATTTATTCGAATATTCTAATACTATGTTCGATAGCTTGCGTCTCCATGCAAGCCACACGTTGGCCTTGGCCTAATGTTAGGGCAGCCTGTATCTTCTGCAGTCCTTTGATGATGATTCCGTGATGGTCCGAGCCATTCAAATATTTTACAGTTTCATATATAGGCACTGCTTGAACCCAAAAGAAAGTCGATCGTATACATAAAAGTGATGCAGACTGTATTCAGACGTGCCGGGTACTAGTCACCTCCATAAAATATCAGTGAGCTTCAGTGGATCCTGCTCTCTGGTCCTTGTCTTTAGTGCTGCCTTGGCTGAATAGGTGCATTAAAATTAGAGCTCTTGTCTGTAACTTATCTGTCTGCATTCTGTATCTTGTGGCAATGGGAACCCTTAGTGAGGTAATGAGGTTGGTAAACTGTACAATCAAAAGGAAATTTTGATGACAAGATAACTTTGCAGCTAATGAAGACTGAAAAATGAACGTGCTTTACTACAAAAAGAAGGCAGATTGTTCTTTTGCAGTATTTCATTGGCATGTGTTTATTGAAGTGTAGCTGCTCCTGTATGCTCATAATCTGGTAACTTGTATGCCAGAAAAGCTGACTGGCGAAAGTTGATCTGCAAGAGCTGTTGAAAGCTGAAGTGAAACTTCGACATTCTTGTCACAATAGAGAGGAAAAACCTGGCACGTTAAAAAGCGAGAGTTAAGGGGCATAGGTTGGCAAAACTTGTGCAGCTCCCTCACACTCACTCTGGTAGTAAATCTTGTTCTTTGGACTCACTTGGACTCAAACTTAACAAAATTTTTCCGAACCAAACTCATTTGGACTCACACTTACTAAAATTCTTTTCAACTTATCGCACTCGGACACAAACTCACCAAAGTATTACTCACCCAGACGCTCAGATTCAAACTCGTGGCTCGATCTGAGTCTGAGTGAGTTAACCGACCTATGTTAGGGAGCAAGTGAGATTTGTCGTCGGGGATCATTAGGTTCCATATATTGATCTACATATGGCAAAGGGTGGCAGAAAGGAGATGCTTGCATTTAATTTGAAAAAGAGCAAGCTGTCATACCCGCTGTGACAGTTAGTGGCTACGATGTTGCGCTGCTAAGTGCACAAGTGCAGATACGATTTCGGGCCACAGTGGCTGCATTACTATAACAGGGTCAAATAGCAAGAAATGTCGATGTACGGGAGTTAGATTAATTTAGAAGTGGAAACCATGGCATGTTTGGTTTGGAACGTTAGGCCCCATAAGTTTATTTTTTTTAGTAATACATCTCGGCAGGGTCACCTCCTGGCACTTTGTGCACTGTGAGCTTTAAGTCAAGGCCCAGTACCAATTGTTGTTTGTTAGAGATATGGAATGTGGCATACTGTTTGTGTTACTACTTCTCACGCTGTTTGTTCTTGTGAGTAACGAGGAAAATGCAAATAAAAAACACTCTTCCTTTCTCCCCACTGCCCCCCCCCCCTTTCCTTCTCCCACCCCTCCCCAAAAGTTCCCGCAGGTATGTTGCCCCTGGTCTTGGCACCGGCAGTACAACTGACGACGGGCATATCCACGTCCTCCGCGCCTAGAGGTGGCGGCGCGAATTGCCGCGGCCGCCTGCAGCACCCGGCCATGTCATGGCCCATCGTGGGAAACACATTCAAGAAAAAGTACACGTGCAACCTGTGCAGCTACTCGACAGACTACCCGACCAACATCCAGCGCCACATGCTGACCCACACGGGCGAGCGGCCTTTCCGTTGCGACACCTGTGGCAAGGGCTTCACTACCAAGCAAAATCTGGAGAGCCACAAGCTCCAGCACACCAGGAGCACTTGGTTTCCGATGTAGCACACGTGCACCGGAGCTGTGCTGCTTTCTTTGTTAACGATTAATTTTGATTTTCTGGCTTTGTTCTTGTAATCGAGGGCAGTTCTCTCATGACACACAGCTTGCTTCACAAATGTTTTCTGCTGCATAGCCGTTGTCTTTTTCTCTTTTTTTCTTTTTTGAAGTTGATCTGTCTCTCTCCAGCTATGCTTTTTTTTTCATTACTGTTTCGGTTGTATGTCCGAAGACGAGTGCATAGCTCTACTGTTTATAGACTTAGGAAAGCCACCGAATTTTATAGAGTATAGTGTGGAGGATAGATCAGGACTGACTGTGCCTTTAAATAAGTGCTTCTTGGACGTCATATAAGATTTGGATGTGGTATTTTCTATTTGAAAGACACTTGTAGATACTCTTTCCTGACATTTAATCAAGCTTTTACACTAACAGCACGCTTGCGTAGCTGCCATATCAGAAGGCCGACAATGAGAAGCCAGCTTTGCTGAGACGAATCATTCAGCGTGTTCTGAGGTCATTCGTGGATGTCGTCTCAACCTTTTTTGGTTGAGCTGCTGTGGCTCCCTTATAATTTTGCTTGTACAAAAGTGTTTTTGCTGTCTCTCTTTTTTCTTTCTGTCAAAGTTTTGCAATGCCACCCATGGCTGCCCTTGTGTTGAGGTTGCAACCTTAGTTACACATCTTGATCACTTCTACTATATATTTTGGTCGAGTCTGTCATACTGTACAGTTGTACTGAAGCTTACATTTTTTGGCATGATTTTCTGGCCTTGCACTGACGTTACACTGCTATCTGCACCCACATGCATAGTAGCATCCGTTCAACTGGCACTCACAGTCGTATACACAGCATCGTGATTATAGCCTAGCACTCCCCTACTGTGTTGATTACTGTGTTTGCCTGCTGCCGCATCGTCTATTTCCTCTTCTCACGGCAGCATTTTCAGGCAACCTTGTATAAATTTGTGGGCTTTAAGTCCAACCGTGCTCTTTCTTTGTTCAGTGATATAAATTTTTTTGCGCTTTCAGAGCTCCAATTAATTCTTCAGCTGTCACTTGTCTCATTATTATTCCCAGGCTGATTCTAACATGGTCACGTTTACTCGCTGGTAACTTGACCGACATGTAACAAGGTAGCGCCTAAGCTTTTTCCAGCTAATCAGTCTCATGGGTCCAGTGTTATCGTGCGAGCTCCAGTTGCATTAGCTGCGCTGACATAGCTATAACAGTCTCTCGTGGCCCGCTATTGTAGTGTTGGGGTAGCGCTTTTGAAATGGCGCAATCAGTACACAGTATTGAATGTTACCGTGTGAAATAACATTTGTGCAACTGATTTGGTGTCCTGAATTTTGCATCGTTATACCATATTTCCGGCTTTAGATGCTAAGTTCATTGAGACAATGCAATAGCTCGTTGTCCAAACATTTGTGTTTAAACATCTACCCAGCAGATCAGCGTGGACTTGAGGTGGTTGGAAGTCAGACCATACATTTTGTTGATGATCATGTGGACTTTGTGGACCAACCATAAAAAAAGTTTGTAAAAGATATTAGGAAGCAGGCAATGAACAAAAGAATGAAAATAATGCTGGTTACATAGACAGAAGAAGCTATTAATATAGAAAAATCGGTGCTGGTGACATTCAGACTGAGATTGAAGTGATGCTTGGAGATCGCAATGTATCAAGCAGACCATTACTAAATAATGGAGCTGTAAAATAAATGTTCGAAGGAAAATGTGATCGACAACTACCGAGGACAAAGTTGTGAGGAAAGTTGGAGATCTGGAGGCCTAAGTCAAATTGAGCTTGTGTAGGACAGAATGGAAATCACAAGGAAACGATTTCACACTGAAATAAATGTAATATAAGATGAGGATTGAAAAAAAAAAAAAACCATCAGGTCAAAATAATCTCAAGCCTTTTGCTTAAGCCTCTCTCACGCAAGTTATCACCTACTCCCTGAGATGGTTGTTTTAATGACCAATTCAGCTTCGATCAAGAATATTTCCTTTCCAATTTAAATCCGTTTCCGAAGTCCAAAAGTGAACCTGAATAATTTAAAGCGTTCATGAGCGTTACAAATAAGATGTGACTGCTATACTCAAAGAGGAAAAAAAAAAAGAGTGCCGATTTTTAAGTTTAAGCTTGCATTTTTTGTTGTAGCTTTCTGAGCACACTTGTGCATTGATTGCGATTCGCTATTGTTTCAGTTATCAGTGGGTAATAAAGATACTTGGGATACTACTATTTTGAGTTGTTTTGGATTTTCGGAAAATATGGCAGCATAGCACCACCCAAGCAGTTAAACACCGGCAGTTTGCCCTGAAGTAGGCCTTTTTTTTTATTTAGGGGATGTCAAGGTAAACGAAAAAGCTTCACCCAGAATCTCTTTTGGTTGTTGTCCAAGTTGTGCCATAGCTAAAATTTAATTGTAGGGAACTCCGTAGTTCTAGCCCCTCCCTGGAACACTGTTTTCAGGCAGCACTGACGTAGGATCTTTCACCTTTTTTTTTCTGGCATTTGTCAGCATCTGGAGTGGCCCCACAAAAGGCACACCCCACAATTATCGAAATGTGAATTTTGTGTGAAGTTTTTGGGAAGTCGGTATTTCTGTGACGAGTACGGGCCGTCATTTTGCCCGCATGAATCCCGTAGTGTGATAAAATCATATATCCTTCAGTGTACTAGAAGAAAGTCCACGAAAATTGATAGGCTTTAACTTTTTATGTAACGTAGACATACGTTAATAAATAATAAATTAGTGTACAATTGGTGCCTCCAAAGTATCATATCAGAAGGTTAGCGCAGCCATCTTGTAGTAGTGCTGTCATTTTTTTTGTTTCTGCAGTTTTTTCCCCAGGCATATCAAACTTTTTCACAAATCAAGACTAACCTCCTTGTGTGTACAAAGTTGCAGTTTACTTACATAGCCCCATTTAATTGCTTTAGTTTTGCTTACCTAATGCTACACCTTTCTGGAGACCAATGTAAGAAATGCATGCTCGCCTTCTCATTTAGATGCATTCTTTACACTCGGTCCTCTAATCTCTAGCCTTCCAACTTGGCACCTGCCATTCAGATGTGTACTGGTTCCGAACATTGTCGGTTGTTGATATAGTCCTCCTCGATCATAGCCTGCGAAAAGCTTCAATTCTTTTTGTGCATAGTGCTGGCGCCAATATTACCTCTCTCAATCGGTCATTTATTGGCTTTATAAAGTCGAGTCAAGACTCTTTTTCTAGCTGCAATCGACCCAGCTGTAACTTATGAGCTTATTTACTGGCTAGTCACTAGGCATTTGTGCCATGTGAAGAGAGAGTCCTTCATATCGGAGCACGATTGAAGGAGCAAACATTTTCACCAGTCAACTTTTTCCTCCTGTTCGTCCCCACAAAAGAGAGAGAAAAAAGAAAAAAGCGTGAAAGAGTAGTGATATGTTGGTTGGTGTATGGTCAGTTTCTATCCCTGATAGACTTGTGTTGTGAAAGTTCGTGCTTCATTTTGTACTGAGCCATTTCGTTGCGTGCTTCTTATAACTTTAGCCATTCTCTTTGCATACCTTATATTTGTAGTTGGTATTCTTGGCGTGTCTCTTACATGTACACTCGGTATTTTTTGTCTTGCATTGCCATTTTTCGGAGTTGACAGGGTTTTTCTATTACAAAGGAAATGTGTGCTGTTCGAGCACCAGTATGTGCATGTCCTTCAAATGGGCTCTCTCTCTATCTGGGATTCACTTTGAACAAGAGTCCTTCGAACTAAGGGTTTACGATACAAAACCTAGCTGAGATAACGTAAAAAAGAGAGAGAGAGAGAGAAATAGGCATTTTCAGGTGACCTGAACATCGCGTGTAAGCAAAGTTATATACATGTGAGAAAACGTCATGGCGGATAGCATATTACCCTGTTCTATTTATGGAATAGATGTTGAGCTGCTTGATTTTATATTGCAGTTTATTAGCTGTTATTTTACCGGGGTGCATGCATTGTCAGCTGTGGCAAAGTGATAATACACACATCATCGGTCACAGCTGTGACTGTCTTGGCATTTATTGAACTGCTTTGTGTTGAAGTTTTGCTGTTTTTTGTGTAAGTGTGTATGTTTTTGGTAGCGAGAGTTTTTGAGTGGGTAGTGTACCTACACTTGAAGCTTGTGTCGAAGGTTTTTTTGGTTGGCCTCTACTCTTGCGCTTAGTTTTCGCTGTCATTGGGTACTGGTGGAAAAAATATTATTTTGAGCTTGCAAAGACAACTTCAACAGCACTGCAGCTTTTTTTTTATAAAAGATTTGTCTACGTTTACTGCCCTTGTCACAACTGAAATAACGTTCTCGCGGCTATGGAGTGTTCATATCAGTGGAAGACTGCGCCAGTGAATTATGTAGCCAAAAGACGTTATGGAGAGAAAGGTGTGACTGTCAGTTTTTCAAATAGACTAGGGAGGATTTTGCAGTAAAGTTTGTTTTTTGCTCGTGTCACATTACCATTCTTGCTGTTAAATCACGCGTATGTTTGGTGAGTCGTGTCATTTCAGCATTCAGGTTATAGGCCCCTGGAGGTCTGATCACGCCAGAGACGTTGGCAGACTAATGTCGTCCTTTAGCTCTTTTCGGTGGTTGACATGTCTCAGGTTTTCAGTGATGAGGTTGTGTCCATTTGTCATGTGGCTGACTTCTTCCTGCACTATTTTTGCTAGCCATAACCTATATAGCGCACAGCTTCTTTTTTTTATTATTATACTAGGCTGCATTAAGTTGCACTTTCGAAGCAGTTGAAATGAAAGTTGCCAAATCCTTAACATCTCATGTTTTACCAAGAAGTTATACTGCTTACAGGCTAAACCAGCAATGTAAGGCCCTACGAGCAGTGCAGCTCACAGCTAAGTAATAGATGTTGCACTTCTTGTCCTCTTTGATTTTGTTGAAA